TTCAAAATATACCTTCAAAAATATTGTAATATAAAAGACTGTTAGAAAGAGGTTGGAAAATGAAAATTAGGTCGTTTTGGTAGATATGATATAAAGGATTAAGTAAAATGAGTTGATGAAATTGACGAAACAGAGGAGGTTTAATTACATTATTTTAAATTAAAATACGTAAATGAAAATAAGGTTAGAAGGACTTGCTGGAAATACGATCTGAACTAGAATACAAAACTGGGAGGTGAGAGGAGGTCATGGACATAAGTAAAGGGAAAAGGCTATGTAAAGGTTTAATTTGTTTTTGTTTCATTTTAACTTAATGCATTTTTATACTTTTTGTTAAGTCTTCTTTTTTTATTCTATTTTATTGTTCACTTGTATCTTTTTACTTTTCGCTTTGTTAAGGTTAAATTTTTCTTTGTATTTTGTATGGTTTTTCTTTCTCTTTTTTGTAACTTTAAATATGGAATAAATATCATTAAAAAAAAAAAACACAAATAAGACAGTGACCTAACAAAAACTAAAAATTACAGACGTATTTCATTATTGAATTGTGACTACAAACAATTTGCTACAATATTGGCTAATAGATTGAAACGGACATTGACTGAGTCAGTCCACAGAGACCAGGCTGGGTTTTTACCAGGCCAACAAATGAAAGAAATGTAATTAATTTAATAGCATACGTGGAAGTAAGAAATTAAAAACAGGCTGTGTTAATCTTCCTAGATGCAGATAAAGCTTTTGACAACATTTCATGGTCATTTATGATTAAGGTTTTAGAGAAAATGGAAATAGGTAATTCTTTCCTAGGAGGAATTAAAACAATCTATACTGATCAATCTGCAAATATAGTAATAAATTATATTATTTCAGACAAATGCCAAATAGAAAAAGGAACGAGACAAGGCTGTCCCTGTTTGTTATGACATTAGAAATACTGCTTCAGAATATAACGAGAAAAGGGGAAATTAAAGTTTTTGAGGTGGGACGTAGAGTCTATAAATTAAGGGCATTTGCTGATGACGTGGTGTTGACACTAGAACAACCTTTGGAGAGCGTTCTCTAAGCATTAGAATAAATTTAAAGGTTTGGAGAAGTGGTGGGTTTCAAAATAAACTCAAATAAAACCAAAATGTTGGTTAAAACATGGATGAGCAGTCAAAAAATTTTGTAGAAAGGATGTCTGGTTTTAAAATAGGCAAAAAAATTAAGTATTTAGGAATCTGGCTGACAGTAAGAAAGCTCAACCTATTTGAAAATAATTATATTAAATTGTGGAAAGAGGTTAAGAAAGAGTTGGAGATATGGGGGAGAATGAAATTCTCCCTGTTAGATAGAATTTCAGCCATTAAAATGAATATACTCCCTAGGACGCTGATTTTATTCCAATCAATCCTGATTGTAAATCATTCAAGCTGCTTCAAAGAATGGGAAAAAGATGTCTCTAAATTTATCTGGCAAGGGGAGAAGCCAAGAATAAAATATTTTGTATCCTGACAGATACAAAAGAAAGAGGAGGCTTTGCACTGCCAGATTTGCAATTGTATTATGAGGGAGGTTGTTTGCATAAGTTAAAAGAATGGATTGTATTGGACAATGCAAACATCTTAGATTTAGAGGGTCATGATTTAAAATTTGGCTGACATGTATGTCTTTGGTATGGGAAGGCTAAAACCTATGAGTTTAATGAACCACATTCTTAGGAAGAATCTATATAGAGTCTGGGGAAAATATATAAATATGCTGGAAAGAAAAACACCTTTATGGCTATCTCACATCAAAGCAATTACAATTAATAGAGTTAATATGGATAGACAATGGGCATCTTATAGGGAACTGCTGGATTTTATGGGGGGGGGTGGAACCCAAACTGAAATCAATGGAAAACTTAAGGAGCCAAGTTATAGATTGGTTGCAATATCACCAAATACACAACATGTTTAAATTAGATAGAAAGAATGGATTTATGGACTAAAGTTCACAATTCAAAAAAGAACACTTACAAAATGATAAACTTCTGTCTAAAATGTATAATTTTTTTATTAGAATGGGAAACAAAAGACGAGCTTGTTAAAGTTTCAGTGACACACTGGGCAATAGATATAGGACACAATATACATCTTAACCTCTGGGAGAAACTTTGGGAAAGTGACCTGAAATTTATTGCATGTTATTAATTGAAAGAGAATTATTTGAAAATGATCCATAGATTGTATTTAACTCTGAGTAGGTTGGCTAAGATTTATAAAACAGAATCAGATCCATGTTGGAAGAGTAAAGAAGTGGAGGGAACCTTTTTTCACATGTGGTGGACATGTAAAAAGGTAAAAGGGTATTGGGAAATGATTTATAATGAATTGAAAAAAATATGTTTAAAATTACTTCCCCCCCCAACCCTCCCCCAAGTTCTTTTTATTGGGAATAGCCCAAACAGAAATTCCTAGGTGTCAGAAAAGCTTATTTATGTATGCAACGACTGCAGCCCGTGTTTTGTTAGCCCCAAAATTGAAAGTGAGTGAGGTCCCAACCAAAGAGGACTGGCAATTTAAGTTGACAGAATATGCAGAATTTGCAGATTTAACACACAGAATAAGAGAGCAAGAAAAACATATAATTAAAGAAGAGTGGAAAACATTTATTGAAAATATGGAAAATAAATGTATAAAGCTGAAAACAGTGGCATCAATAAGATAAATTCAACAGAGTAAATATTTTTTGCTGTAAAAGTGGAAAACTGATTTGAATGGTTAGAGTAAAATATGCAGGAATGTATGATAAGTAAAATGAACCATGGAAGGAGAAGAAGGGAAGTCATTGTATATTTTAAAATTTGTAAAATGTTTATTTTGAAATGTGGAGGCGGATCCAAGATGGCGACGTGAGCGGCAGCCTTGTCTTATGCTCGGTAAAGCTATATTTTTATTATCTGCTTTGACGGGTTCTAAGGGCTCTAAGATGCCTTAAGGCGTTTATTTTAGAAGTTTTATGGTTTAGATTATTTCTACTTCTCCCATAAATCTGCAAGAAAACACGGCAGATAAAGACTGTTAAAGGGAGTAGGGCTCATTAACAGCACAACCTGCCCTGACCCTACTATTTTGAGAAATTTTCTCCCTATTTTCTTGCCGACATGAGAGGGAAGAAACGCCGCAGGCAGCATTCCAATGAAGCTACGAGCACTGCCAAAAACAGACAAATATCAGGGATTTTTGCCTGACAATGACCTAAATGAGATCTGTAGAAACTTCCCCACAGCAAACAGCCATGAGGTCCTTGCTCCCAGTACTACTCATGAGGAGCCTGCCGGCATTGTGGATGGCCCACAACTAGCCTCGAGCCTGTGTATGAAGGAACAGATGGAACAGACTCTTGAGTCCCTGCAAAAAAACTTCACCTGAATTATCCCAGTCACCAGCCCAGTTAAACAAGGACCGAGAGGCACTGGAACTGCTAATCTGCCAGACTGAGTTGATAACACATACCATCACCAACTTATATAAAAGGCTGGATGGGATCGAAAAGAAGCTTGAAAAAGCCTTTGGCTTGTTCAGTTGCCGCGCCCTCACTTCTTCAGCTTAACAACATTGCAAACTCCGCTCACCCCTGCCCAAGTGCGCAGGCCAACCTTGCACAAAAACAAGTGAGATGCCTGCCCAACCAAGTACAAAACTCAAGTCTGCAACTCCAGAACAGCAAACTTGCAGTACTGGTGGGAAACCACCCCTTGAATTATAACAAATGGGCGGATAAACATTCGGTCACAAATTCCCTGACCCAACTGCTGGGGCAGACATTACGCCCGTAGATATCGTGGACATCTCATGGCTGCCTTCTGGACCTTATATGAGACGTATGGTTATTAACTTTAGATCTGCCCATTTCGTTGCAAAGATTCTAAAATTAAGAAACCGCACAAGAAAATGGTACATCTATTTTACAAGGGTATTCACCAATCTGACCCGTACACCGCTATGCACCAGGATAGGTGCTGTCGGTGTTGATGCTGGGCCTGTGCGCCATAAAGAACAAATAGACCGGGATCTATTACCCCACAGGGAGTGGCAAGCCTGCCCGCAAATGACTTAATTGATTTCCTACATCCCGGCTTGGTACCCTGGTCTCTACGTGCAACGAGCCTGGCATTGGACTACCCAAGCAAGACCAGTCTGAAATGCTCTCGTCCTCATATGCCTCGATGCCGGAATTGGAGGCTTCCATTATTCTAAGCCCAATACGCAATCAAGATCCACAGCTTTTGTCAAATTTTGACCCGCTAGCAGTACCGACGCAAGATGCAGTTGTCGACCTGCTACCTATACAGCCTATACGGGTCGGCAAAATCCTTGCTCTGCGAAAACCAGCTGAACATCATGATACATCAGCTGAACAACATGATATTTGTAACGGTGTCATCGAAGATCCTCTGGGCCAAATCAACCTATTGGCCCCTCAGTTAAAGTTATCATACCTATCTAGGGACCAGCGATCTCAAACCCGGAACCACCAAGCAGGGCAGATAGAGGAGGAGCCCAGCTCAGGAGCCTCAAACCATCGGAAAAGAGATTGACTGCCACTATTTCCACCATCACCCTATTTCCACATTCTATCCTGGAATGTGGCGGGATGGCTATCTAAGCAGGGTGACGTCGACCTTCTGGATTTCCTTACAAAATTTCAGATTTTATGTCTACAGGAGACATGGTGTCTAGATCTCCATGTCCCCTCTTTACAGGGATACGAAGCCTTTGCTACCCCTGCGATAAAACCAAAATCCCGAGGCCGACCTAGTGGTGGTTTAGTCACTTTTGTTTCTACCAAGCTAAAATGCAAGGCCCGGCAACAGCAGTGGGTGAAGAGTAACAATTTACAAATCTTACTTATTTCTAGCAGTGAAGGAGGAGATTTCCTTTGCTTTAATATATATATCCCTCCCATAGGCACCCCTCCCCAGTCGTCACAATTCTGGGAAGATTTAGAGCTATGTTTGGAGAAGGCTGAACTAGAATTCCCTGGCATGGATATCCTGCTGGCAGGTGATTTCAACGCCAGGATAGGAAATGACATTAATACGTACTGCTCTAAATCTCAGTTCCTGCCAGAGGCAGATTGGTTTATTCCCTGGTCCTCAGACGATAAGGTCTTGAATAAGGCAGGCATTACATTAATGGAGACTGCCTTCAAACATAATTTGTATAATTTGCATGGTACCCATATGGACAGGTCAGGGGGTTTCTTTTCTTTTCTTGGACCCAGAGGTGCGAGCGTTATTGATTATATCCTGGTCTCCCCAAAACTCTTGGAGAGGTCACAGGGCTTCAGGATTTTCAATAGAACTGAGAGTGATCATCTTCCTATATCAATTTCACTAATTCCCCGTGGTGTGGAGGATCCGCAATACCGCAATCACTGTGCAGACCCACCTCCAACTCTGGCCCTTCGTAGGCGTAAATGGAACAGCGACCTGGAATCTAAAATCAAATTACACCTGCATTCATCAGACTTACTGGCCTTGAGAGACCAGTGCATCTCATCCATTTCTGACCCCTTTTCAACATTTCAGCAGGTCTCAGAGTCGCTCTTCCCACTACTCACGAATTCCAACCCTCCCAAAAAACAAAACAACTCGAGGGCCTGGTTCGACAAAGACTGTAGGAATCTAAGATCTTTGCTCAGGAAATTACAAAATAAGGTAAAACAGGAAGGGACCTTGTCCTCATTGGAAAACCTGCACAGGTGGCGTTCTCATTATAAAAATACTCTAAAATTTAAGAAATCCCTCTACAGAAAGGAACAATGGGAGGCACTTGACAAAGCGATCAAATTGCGGGATGACAAAAAGTTCTGGGAAATAATTGCCCAGGGAGTTTCACCCAAAGGGAAAATTGTAACCAACAGTATCTCATCTAACTCATGGTACCAACACTTTTCCCGGCTATATACAGCTCCAAACATTGCTAAACCGAGCCAGTTTCCTCCTCTTAAAAACGATCTATTAATGGGCTGGGATCCTGTTACCGAATCAGAATGTTTACAGCTAATTAAAACACTCAAGAATGGCAAAGCTCCCGGTGAGGATATGATTCCTCCTGAGGTATTTAAACTAAATGCCCAGTGGTGGGCTGCTATTTTGGCCCAACTTTTTACGGTAATAAATGATATATGCAAAATCCCAGAAAACTGGAAACTGAGCCTGGTAGCCCCCATCTATAAGAAGGGACCCCCAAGACCCCTCAAACTATCGCCCCATAAGTCTCCTGGACATTGTGTATAAACTTTACACTCGCTACCTGCTAAATAAACTGGTTGACTGGGCTGACCACTCTAACCTGCTTAATCCGGAACAGGCAGGGTTTAGAAAGGGCCATAGTACAACAGGCCATTGTTTGGTACTACAGACAATGATAGATAAGTATACAAAGGTACATAAGAGCAAACTTTTTGTGGCTTTCGTAGATCTCACATCCGCTTTTGATTCAATCTGTAGGGACAAATTATGGCAAAAATTATATGAAACAGATATTGATAGACGACTTCTCAAAATACTTAGAGAGTTACATTCAGACACCACAGTTAAAATCAGAACTGGGATGTCAGGCAACTATACTGATCCACTGCCACTGGGGAAAGGGGTTAAACAGGGCTGTTTGTTAGCGCCGTTCCTCTTTAATTTCTATATAAATGACATTGTTCAACATATGGCAAAGTATAAGTCATCAGCTCCTGCCCTGGAAGGCAAACACCTGAATATATTACTATATGCTGATGACATGGCTGTCATGGCACTTACTCGAAGGGGCCTACATAGCATGCTGGAGGGGCTCGCAGCTTATTGTTCCCAAAACTCTCTAAAGATAAATTATGACAAAACAAAAATTGTGGTATTTACTAGAGCTCGCCACACATTTAGATGGTCTTTAGATGAACACAAAATTGAACAGTGTCCTTTTTTTAAATATCTTGGTATCACTTTCCAAGCTACATCTAGCTGGCTTGCCCACTTCAAGACTGTAGCCCTTCTAACACGTAGGACACTCGGTGCTCTGCTCAGCTTTTTTATTCGAGGGGAGGGCAACTGGTGATCCCGGCATTAAAAGCTTTTGTTGGAAAAGTGATTCCCCAGATGCTATATGGAGTAGAACTCTGGGGATGGAATCAGAAGCTATTAGAACGGCTTGAAATCTTCCAAAATTTTTACCTCAGAAGAATTCTAGGCCTCCCTCAGAGTACTCCGGCAGCTCTCCTAAGAGTGGAAGTAGGATTACCTTCTGTGTCTGCCAGGGCCCACTTAAGATTCCTGCGTTTTTTCACCAACCTCACAGATGCCCCGAACACCTTATTGGCTAAACAAGCCTTTGTATCATTACAAAATAATACTACTTGGCATAAAAACCTACTAGATATCCTATCCAGATACAATCTACCTGAGTTTAATACCCTTAAATTGTGGAGCCCTGATAAAGTTCGGGAATGGATCTTTGAAAAAGACGCCTTTTGGACTCCACAAAGATAAAAACTCTGGGTTTTCCTACTGGTTTCCCCGAGTAAAAGCAGTCAAAATCTGTGCCAACTACTTGGTGGAGATCACTGACCCCACCCTTCGGAGAGCTTTCACTATGGCACGGTTTCAAACACTGCCAACTGCATATCTGACCGGTAGATTCACAAAAACCCCAGTAGAACATCGTTTATGCCCTTGCCTTATGAAAATTAAAGAGGATCTTACACATTACCTCCTCTATTGCCCCATCTACTCGAGCTTTAGAGACGCATTGCTGCAAATTATACCCAACTCTATAACCAATCCTGAAGATAGAGTAAAATTTTTGTTAGTTGATGCAAACCCACGTATTACCCATGTGGTAGCGGTTTTTGTGATGAAGGCCATGAAAGCCAGGGAAAGACTTATGGATGACAATGTAAAGACCCCTTCATCGTCTGTTTAACTCGCTGCTCGTTTTCCCTCTCTTTCTATTTTGTGGGATGAAGGTTTTGTTGGCGTAGTAAGTAATGAATTTTAATATCTTTTAACTATTGTTGTGTTAATGTTTGTGTACAGGCATGGTCCTCACAATAAACGGATTACAGCTATTTTGAAATGTAAAACTGACAACTTAATAAAAAAAAATTTTATATATAAGTCCCGCAAAAATAGACTGGCAGAATAAAGTATTGCACTTGGGCAAAAAAAATGAGAGGCACAAATACAAGATGGGTGACACATGGCTTGAGAGCAGTACATGTGAAAAGGATCTAGGAGTCTTGGTTGACCACAAACTTGACATGAGCCAACAGTGTGACGCGGCAGCTAAAAAGCCAATGCAATTCTGGGCTGCATCAATAGGAGTATAGCATCTAGATCAAGGGAAGTAATAGTGCCTCTGTATTCTGCTCTGGTCAGACCTCACCTGGAGTACTGTGTCCAGTTCTGGGCACCACAGTTCAAGAAGGACACTGACAAACTGGAACGTGTCCAGAGGAGGGCAACCAAAATGGTCAAAGGCCTGGAAACGATGCCTTATGAGGAACGGCTAAGGGAGCTGGGCATGTTTAGCCTGGAGAAGAGGAGGTTAAGGGGTGATATGATAGCCATGTTCAAATATATAAAAGGATGTCACATAGAGGAGGGAGAAAGGTTGTTTTCTGCTGCTCCAGAGATGCGGACACGGAGCAATGGATCCAAACTACAAGAAAGAAGATTCCACCTAAACATTAGGAAGAACTTCCTGACAGTAAGAGCTGTTTGACAGTGGAATTTGCTGCCAAGGAGTGTGGTGGAGTCTCCTTCTTTGGAGGTCTTTAAGCAGAGGCTTGACAACCATATGTCAGGAGTGCTCTGATGGTGTTTCCTGCTTGGCAGGGGGTTGGACTCGGTGGCCCTTGTGGTCTCTTCCAACTCTATGATTCTATGAATAAGCTAATATAATACGCAGAGCTAGCAATGTTGATTGCAAAGATAATAAATCAAGATGAGTCTGATATAAAAGAAGACTGGGAATACTTTGGCGAATATTTAAAGAAATATAACAATCAGATAAACTTCCAAGTGGGGTTAAATATATGAGCAGCAGTTAAAATAAACAGAAGAGGGATGGTAATTAAGGAGATGCAGCTTAACAAGGACTAAATAAGACCCCACGGAGGAATGTGTATGGAAGTCAGAGTGTAAGATAAACAATGACAATTGTATAACTGATGTACTAAGATATGTAAAATGCATAAATTTAAAAAGGAGAAAAAGATATCGGGGCTGGCAGACGGGAGTGACTATTAGCAGGAAAGGGGTGCTGAGAAATAGCCAAGAGGTTGGGCAGATGAGATACAGAGTACCTAGCAGAAGAGGGTTGAGAGACCTGAAAAGAATAGGCCACATGCTCCCAATTTTCCAGGGAGGGCCTCTCTTCTCTGTCCCCTATCTTTGCTACATCTGTCATGTACTGAAGTTCTCACCCTGGGCCAGCAGGGGGATACTGTAGTTTTCACTCAGGTCCACATATGCAAATAAGGGATTGAAAGTGACGTTCAGTGATTGGATAGTTACAGAAAATGGTTACTGTTGCGTTCTAGTGGAGCTCTATATAAGCAGGCTGGCTGAACCCTTCAGTTCAGTTCTGTTCTGGCCTGTGAATAAACAAGAGTTGTTTGAAGAATCGCTGTGTCGTCTGATATGTTCACCCACAACTTAACAACATCCCTGCCACCATTCTTGCCTTTCAGAGAGGGATGCCTTGTGGCAATGTTGTTACTGTGCATCATCACTCTTTAGGGCCCAGACTGGTTGGGAGAGCAAATATGCATTTATTCCTCAATTCAAATGGAAATAAAACGAGAGGCATTAATGTGGGGGTCCCATGCTGTGTGCAGTTTCAGACCTTCCAAGTGTCCCTGCTTTCCAGGGACAGTCCTGGATTTACAGAAGCTGTCCCGGTATCTGATTTGATCCTGGAATGTCCTGCTTTTCCTTAGGACATCCCTAATTCCATCAGAGAAATGTTGGAAGGTATGCAGTTTGCCAGTTCACACACACTGCCATTACTGAGGTGTATTTTGAAAGTCTGAGAACGTGACCACAGGTATGAAATTTACGGCATGTAATGCCTTAAGAGAGAATATTATGAAAATGATATACAGGTGGTACATAACCCCAGTCAAGCTTGCAAAAATCTATCACTTGCCCGATAACAAATGTTGGAAATGTAAAGAAACTGAAGGTACATTTTTTCACCTTTGGTGGACGTGCCCAAAGATTAAGGCTTTCTGGGAAATGATATATAATGAATTAAAAAAGGTATTTAAGTATACCTTCCCTAAGAAACCAGAGGCCTTCCTCCTGGGCATAGTCGGCCAAATGGTGTTAAAAAAGGATAGAACTTTCTTTATGTATGCAACAACAGCAGCAAGAATACTCATCGCAAAGTATTGGAAGACACAAGAACTTCCCACGCTGGAGGAATGGCAGATGAAATTTATGGACTATATGGAATTGGCGGAAATGACTGGTAGAATCCGTGACCAGGGAGAAGAGTCGATGGAGGAAGATTGGAAGAAATTTAAAGATTATCTTCAGAAACATTGCAAAATTAAAGAATGTTGGATTGAAAATAAGCGGTTTCCAGATGTACAGGTTAAAGTTAATGATAGACTAAGAATAAAGATTAGGATTAAAGATGTTTAAAGAAATGGAAAATTGATACTAAGAGGAAAAATTTTAATGTTATATGATACTAAGACTAAAGATCAGGTTTAAAGAAGTTGAAGTTATATATTTCAATATCTTATTAAAGCTAAAGATTGGGATTAAAAGTGGAAAAGAAACTGCTGGACAAACAATTTGGATTGGAATACAAAAGAGGGAGGTATGAGGAAGTCCAGAAAATAAGTAACTTAAAAATGGAAATGGAAAAGAGATATTGTTTTTAATTGTTTTGTTTTTTGTTCTTTTACTGTTGAATCTTGTTTTTTTTCGTGTTTTTGTTATATGTATTGTGTATGTTTTTCTTTTCTCTCTTTGTTGTTCAAAACTTTAATAAAAATTATTAAAAAAAAAAAAAGAAAGTCTGAGAACGTGATGTGTGGCAATTACAGTTGTCTAATATATCTCTTTGGTCAAAAGAGCTCCTAGCTTTCGAGACAGGCTGTTGAAGAGCAAATGCGTTCAGCTCACAGCCTTCAGCACTGGGCAGGGCTGGAGGGGAAGACTTGGTGGAGTTTGGGAAGGTGGGTGCAGGAGGCAGAGGGGTGGAGGAGATGAACTTCAGAGAGCCCAGCACAAAACCCTCACTGCAGACCCCAAAAGAAGAAGTATATTGTGGCATCCCCATGGCTAGCTTACCTGCAAGGCACAATATGTGGGCCTGCCTTGGAAGGTGATATACAGCACATGCCAAGTGATGTGCGTTAGAAATTTCCCCCTTTTTTCATCAGGTCATTAGTAACAATAAATGGGTGTCAACAGCAAATACAATATTAGGAGCCAGAATCCAGCACTAAAAGAGTATTGCAATTAATTCAAGAATTTGGTCAAGTAGCAGGATTTAAATTGAATAAGGTGAAAACCAAGGTGTTAGAGAAAAATCTTACAGAGGTTGAGAAAGAGAGGTTTCAGAAGGAGACAGGATTAACATTGGTCAAGAAAGTGAAATATCTAGGGGTTCACATGACTGCTAAAAATGTGAATTTATTTAAAGATAATTATGAAAAATGTTGGATAGAAGTGAAGAAGGATTTGGAAATATGGTCAAAATTGAAGTTATCATTGCTGGGCCGAATTGCTGCGATAAAGATGAATGTATTGCCTAGGATGTTGTTTTTGTTTCAAACATTGCAGATTTTGGACAAGATGGACTGTTTCAAGAAATGGCAGAGAGATATTTCGAGATTTGTCTGGCAGGGCAAGAAGCCAAGAATAAAATTTAAGATTTTAACTGATGCTAAAGAAAGAGGTGGATTTGCCCTGCCAGACCTTAAACTTTATTATGAATCAGCCGCATTTTGCTGGCTGAAAGATTGGCTGCTTCTTGAAAACACGGACATTTTGGACTTAGAAGGTTTTAACAATGTCTTTGGATGGCATGCATACTTATGGTATGACAAGTTTAAAGCACATAAGGCCTTTAAGAACCATATTGTCAGGAAAGCATTGTTTAATGTCTGGGTGAGATATAAGGATTTGTTGGAAAGTAAAACACCAAGGTGGCTGTCACCAATGGAGGCTAAGGCTCTGAAAAAAACTAATATGGAGACAAATTGGCCAAAATATTGCGAAATTTTAGAACAAGATGGAGATAGACTAAAGCTGCAGAGTTTTGATAAATTAAAAACTAAAGTTCGAGATTGGCTTCATTACTATCAAATAAGGGAGGCTTATAATTTAGATAAAAAGATTGGTTTCCAGGAGGAAAAATCAAAATTGGAAACAGAATTGTTAGACCCTAAAACTAAGAACTTATCAAGAATGTATAACTTGCTGTTGAAATGGAATACACAGGATGAAACGGTTAAATCTGTTATGATCAAATGGGCACAAGATTTTGGACATAACATTATGTTTGCTGACTGGGAACAGTTATGGACCACAGGTATGAAATTTACGGCTTGTAATGCCTTAAGAGAAAATATAATGAAAATGATTTACAGGTGGTACTTAACCCCAGTCAAGCTAGCAAAAATTTATCATTTGCCAGATAGTAAATGTTGGAAATGTAAAGAGACGGAGGGTACATTTTTTCACCTTTGGTGGACATGCCCAAGGATAAAGGCTTTCTGGGAAATGATATATAATGAACTGAAAAAGGTATTTAAATATACCTTTCTGAAGAAACCAGAGGCCTTTCTTCTGGGCATGGTCGGCCAATTGGTGCGAAGGGAGGATAGAACTTTCTTTATGTATGCTACAACAGCAGCAAGAATACTCATCGGGAAGTACTGGAAGACACAAGAATTGCCTACCCGAGAAGAATGGCAGATGAAAGTGATGGACTACATGGAACTGGCTGAGATGACCGGCAGAATTCGAGACCAGGGAGAAGGGTCGATGGAAGAAGATTGGAAAAATTCAAAATATATCTTCAAAAGTACTGTAATATGAAAG